CTTTTATTAAGGGTTTCTTTTCTACACTCAGATTCTGTGCTTGCGAGTGGGGAAGTATTGCCTGTGAGAGTCGTCCAGGGCATGGTGTGTAATTCTCATAGGTTGTCAGGTGGGGGCCAAGACGGTTCTGTGTTGTATTGTTGACAAGGAACCCCTAGATATTGAACCCAACTCTTGTTACTGCCAACTCCAACTGGCAGAAGGATTACGTAAGCAAAGTAGGGAAATGTGCTCTAGATGAAATTGCTGTAGGGTGGGGGGAAATGAGTTGAAAGACCATCCTCAAAGAGCAGTTCTCAATGATGGTCTGTTAAACTGGGAGAACAATTCTAGTGGAGTCAGTCCTGGATGTGGTACTGTGCAATCTTTTCAGTATTGACTTGGATAATGGAGTGAAGAATATACTTATCGAATTTGCAGATGACACTAAGCTCAGAGGGGTAGCAAGCACTTTGGAAGATAGCATTAGATTTCAAAATGAAATCGCCAAATTAGAGAATTGGTCTCTGTATATATTGGGTTCCAGGAAGTGGGCGGGCAAAGCCCGCCCACTGCTAAAGGATCCCCCCGCCCCCAGCCTAAGGTGAGGACCCACAGGGCCTGAAACCCAAATGATTACGGGGGACAACTAAAGTAATAACAGGGACAGGAGTGAGGTCAAAAGGTCAAAAGAAGGGAACTGGACGGGGACACCGAGCAGAGAACCCCGGACAGCGCCCACTGCTCCTCAAACGTGTCAAGGGAGCCAGTGGACGCCGCCCAGAGGAACTCTGCCCAGATACGTGAATGGACAGAGGATTGGAAACAGGCCCCACAGTCACAGGAACCTCCATCGGCCAACCTCCACTCTCTGGTTTTATAAATGGCCAGTTTAGCCAGGCCCAAGAGGAAGTTGACCAGGAGGTCCCGTGACATTTTAGGGCCACGGATAGGGAGTGTGTAAATGAGAAGGTGAGGGGAAAAGTGCAACCAAAAACGCAACATAATATTGCTGAGGAGTCGATGTAGGGGCTGCAACCTGGCGCACTCCAAGTAAATGTGAGCCAGGGTCTCCCGCACGCCGCAGAAAGGACAGGTGTCTGGGACAGGGGTAAACCGCGCCAAGTACACGCCCGTGCTCACGGCCCCATGAAGGAGCCGCCAGCTGATATCCCTGGCGGGCCTCGGGACCAGGGTGGAATAGAGGCTGGCCCACCAGGGCTTCTCACCCTCAACAGGTGGCAGGAGATCCTGCCACTTCATATCGGGGTGGTACACGAGGGTGAGGAAGTGAAGAGTGTGGAGCACGAGCGTGTATAGATGTTTTCTTGGCGCGGTAAGGAAACAAACCAGCTGCAAGTCGTGCAGCCGGCTCACGGAAAATGGGCGGGGGGAGGGCCAGTTGGGTCCATGGGGCCCAAAAAAAAGGTCCGGAGGACCGGGGTGGACAGTGGGCAGGGCGTTCCCTCGCACAGGACCTGGTCGAGGTAGACATGAGCAGCGGGCGGCAAAGCGGCCCTTACCTCCTGAAGTATGCGCCGGGGAGTACAAGGCCTGGAGAGCCCCATGCTCCGAGCGAGCATCAGGGGATCCAGCCAGACTCCCCAATCGTAGTCCAGGAGGTCTCTGACTCTAGTGACGTCTGCCAGGACCAACCTCTGGCGCACCGCGGGGGACTCCGCCACCTGCACACGAAGCTGGGGGTTGTACAGCAGGGGCTCCGCGAGGAGATCTACCCCCAGTGTGGCCGCCACGGACCTGGTCGCTAAGAACAGTTTCCAGATCCGGAGGAGGTCCTATAGAAGACCGGCAGCCTGGAGGTCTCATGGGAGACCTCTCAGATCGAGATAAAAGAGCTGCCGGTCATCTCGGAGCCCTCGAAAGCGGCGCAGGAAGGCGTGCGCCAGTACTCTCCACGCCGGACTACCTGCACCATAAAGGAGCCTCTTCAGGGCCTGGAGACGGAAGACAAGGACCTGAGTGAGGAGGCACTTCAGGCCCTGTCCTCCCTCCTCCAGGGGCAGATGGAGGACCCCCACGGAGACCCAGTGCAGTCCTGACCAAAAGAACTCCAGAATTGCCCTCCGGAGGTCAGTCAGGAAGCCCGGGGCTGGGACCAGGGTGTTGAGACGGTACCAGAGCATGGACAGGACTATTTGATTGAGTACCAGTGCCCTCCCTCGAAGGGAGAGGCACCGGAGTAGTCCTGTCCATTTCCAGACTAGGTCCGGGCCGAGGACATCCCAGAACACGTGGTAGAACTCCACGGTCAGCCCGTCCATGCCCGGAGATTTATTGGTGGGCATGCGGTGGAGGACTTCTGAGAACTCGGCCAGAGAGAGAGAGGCAACTCTAGCCGGTCCCGGTCGCCCACGCTGACTATCAGGAGTCCGTCCCAGAGCACTCTGCAAGCGGTAGGGTCGGTCGGATCCGGGGAGAAAAGGTGTGCGTACAAGGCCCTGGACCTCTCGCACATCTCCACTGGATCCGTGAACAGGGTGCCGTCCTCCGTGAGGAGGCAGGTGACGTGCTTCTTGGCCCCCCTTTTTTTCTCCAGGGTGTAGAAGAAGCAGGAGCCACGATCCATCTCCCGAAGGAGGCGGATGCGGGATCGAACAAAAGCACCCCGGGCCTGATGATCGTCAAGGGCCCGGAGCTCCTCTCACTTCTCCCGGCACGCTCCGCAAAGGGATGGATCCTCAGGGCTGGGAGCCAGATGCCTCTCTAGCTCTAAGACCTCCCGTTCCAACTGCTGTATCGCCACATCCCTCCGTCGGCTGGCGCCCCGGGTGTAGTCGCGGCAGAAGAACCGGGCGCGTACCTTTCCTAGGTCTCACCATCGCCGCACCGAGGGAAAGGCACGCCACTGCCCTCGCCAGACCAGCCAGAACTCCTGGAAGGACGCCACGAAGCCCACATCCTCCAGCAAGCTATTGTTAAAGTGCCAATAGGCCGGCCCCGGCCTCTCCGCACAGAGAGAGGCCGTCACGGTGACTAGATGGTGATCTGAAAAGGGGGCCGGCCACACATCGGAGGAGTGGGCCCGTGAAAGATGGAAGCGTGACAAGTAAATGCGGTCCAACCGGGAGTGGCACGACCGATGGGTTTCCACCCGGACATAGGTGAACGTGGAGACATCGTCCGGGTGGTGGTCGCGCCAGACATCCACCAGGGAGTAATGTTCCACAATCTCCAGGAGGACGTCCGCAGCGGCCGGGCACTGCTCGGGGACCGAGCAGTGCCGCTACGCGAGGGTAGCGTTGAAGTCCCCGCCCAGGACCAGGCACTCACGAGGATCCAAGGAGCCAAGGAAGGCGGACGCCTGCTGATAAAAAGGCATCCGCTCCGGGCCTGATGTCGGGGCATAGACATTGACAAGATTGACCACAAGCCCCTCCATGCGGACCCGGAGGTGCAGCAGGCGGCCCAGCACAACCTCGGCAACCCCCAGCACCTCGGGCCATAGGTCGGGGGAGAACAGGGTAGCCACTCCAGCTGTACGAACTGTGAGATGGCTAAAATAGACCCTGTCCCCCCACTCCAGCCGCCAGCTGTCTTCATCGGCTGGATCCGTGTGGGTCTCCTGCAGGAAAATCACAGAGTACCCCCCCCTCCCGAAGGAAGGAGAGCACCTGGCACCTGCGGAGACCCACCCTACAGCCCCGGGTGTTCAATGTAGCAAAGGTGATAGGTGGCATGAGGAGGGCCGCGGGGGATCCTCGCTGGTTGGGATGCTCACGAACCTCATTGGGCTGTGCAGCAAACCGTGACCCACCCCGAAGGTGAGCAAGGAGTCACAGAAGCTGCGGACCCGCTGGTAAGCCGCGGTACCCTGCTTCCCGGTCCTTTTACCCTCCCCCATGAGGGCCCTCGCGGCCCGGAGGATCAGGTGGAAATTCCCCCATCGCTGGAGAGCGAGCGGCACCTTATTGCGGGAGCCACGGACATCTTCTAAAACCTCCCACAGCTCTTCTCGCAGCGTATGGGGGGGTGGGGTCACTGGCTTCTGGTCATCCTCCCCAGGGGACCCTGGCATGGCTCCATGGCCCACCGAGATGGGCAAGCAAGGGGCAGACCCTCGACGTGGCGCCCGATGGGCCGGCGCACATGGCCCGCCTCAAACCTCGGCTCAATGGGGGGCAGCGGTTTAGGGAGGGTAGCAGCCCCTAGTGGGTCAGAACTGGGAAACACAAAGGATGCTCCCTGGCTGTCATCCTCCGGGAAAGAGAAGGAGACATCCCCGGGGTGGCAATGGCATCGCGGGAGGTGGAGGGGATAGGATCGGGTCAGGAGTAGGGGCAAGGCTGCGGGCAGAAGTAGGGTTGGGAAGAGGGACAGAGGTGGGATCCTGGGCCCCAGGAGCTGGACAGCTGGAAGGTGGCTCCTCTCGGTCGGGCTCAGGGGTCTGAGGGTTAAGGAGGGGGTCCCCAGGGATGCCGGGCACAAGCTCAATGGGAGGTGGAACAGCCATGGCAGCAGGAGGTGGAGAATCATCAATGGGGCCCCCACCCAGGAAGGAACTCGGTTGCCCCACACTAATGAGGGATACCCCTGATAATCAGGTCCCAGCCACGAGGCACCGGCCGTCATCTCAACAGGCTTGGCGGCCGTCAGCGGGGTGGCCCCCGCAGCTGGGCAGGTCAAAGAGTCCAGGGGCTCCTCTGAGTCAGGAGCAGGAGCAGCAGTTAGGGGCACGGAAGATGGAGAAAGGGGGGCTGGGGTGAGGTCAGCCAGATCGAGGCCCGCTGGCAGAGGGTCGTCCTCCCCCTGGATGACCAGGGTCAGACCCAGGGCCTCTATCTCCTCATAGATAGAAGGCAGCTCACCTCCCACCACCCTGGGGTTCTCCCTGCTAGCACCCGAGGCGACGCTTGCCCCAGGCATCGCAGGGGGTGGAGGTGGCAAGGGGGCAGGAGGGGCTTCAATGGGGGCCTCCGCAAGGAGGGACCGCGGAGGATGGATGGTGGTATCCTCTGGTGCTGCCACACCTTCCCCAGCCTGCAATGGTAGATGTAATGTACCTGCCGGCAAGGCGGAAGGCTCGGCAGCGGTGGCCCCCTTCCTGGTTTTTTCGGGGGGCCTCCGCGCCAGATGGCAGGAGTAGAGCTCGAGCCTTCCGCTTGCCCCGCTTTCCCTGTACTAGGGTCCAGCCCTCCATGGCATTGTCTGTGGGCTGGATGACAGGGGTTGGGTCGGGGGACAGAGATGATGGCTCGAGGATCTGAGGAGGTAACAATGGGGCAGCAGCAGGGGGGGCAGATTCCCCCTGGGGACGGCCCTCTCCCGCGCCCGGCAACACCCCTACCACACCCTCCTCTACGGGCCCCACTACAGTGCACGTAGCACAGGCAGGGCTCTCCTGCCCATCTGGGCATGGTTGGGGAGGTACCCCTTGAGCCCGAGCGGGAGCAGTGGTGGTCCAAGGAGGAGGGGCGGTATCACCGGGCCTTCCCCGTGGAGTAGTGCACCCGGTAATGGGCCCCCTCAAAGGGGACCAGGAAAGACCCCTCGAGCACCTCTCCGCCACGTGCCGCAGGCGGCAGTTGGAGCTGCACGTCCCAGCGGAATGAGAGGACGTGGCGGAGGACGGGGTCTTTGCAGCCCAGTGAGAGAGGGCTGACGATTGAAATTGGTTTCCCCAGGGTAGAAAGGGAGGGCAGCAGGGTGACATTGGGGAGGAAAGGAGGAACGGAGGTGAGGACCACACGGACACCCTGATCCTCCAGCTGCTCCAGCGGGACGAACACGCCCCCGCAGCGCCAGGCCCTTCTCCACCGCCTCCTGGGTGGCGGTCACCGAGGCAAGGAAGAAGACAACCTTGCCATACATTTTGGAGGCCGCCACAATGGCCGTGGGCCTCACACCCTCGCCAACACCTGCACGTAGGTCTCCAGGTGGGGCGAGGCAGGCACCAGGAGGCAACGAACGCCGTGCTTCCTAGTCAAGGTGGGAAGGGGCCCAGGCCGCTATAGATGGAAGCGGAGGCGGTGGATGGACGAGATGGCGTAGCGGCTGGCGGGGGGACTCATCCACCTGGGCATACGCCCTGGGAGCCGGGGGAGGGGCATCCGCAGAGCTGGTGGAGGGAGCAGTGGGAAGGGATGCCGTGGCTGGTGGCGGGGCCGCAGCAGTGGGGGCAGCCCCTGCCATGGAGGGCCCAGTCTTCTTAGCAGGGCTCTTTCCCTTCTTTTTGCCCTGGCCTTTCCTGCCGGCTGGGGCAGCTCCCCCAGAATCGGAGGAAGCGACGGACGTGGCAGCAGCGGAGGTCACCCCGTCACCCGCCGCTGCCGATGCCACAGCGGGGGTGGTGGAAGGTGGTTTGGCAGCGGCGGTTGAGGAAGAGGCTAAGGGGGTAGGCGGGGGAGGGGTGACAGGGCCTACTTGAGGGGGCTCGCCCGCCTTGTTCCCCTCCATAATGAGCAAGGTGGGAGGGGAAAACACACCGGAAAAGGGGGGCAGGTAAAGGGGGAGAAGGTCAACCACTCCTCCCCCCTAGGCTGCAGGCAGGGGAGGAGGGCGCCAAAACGCGGGGGGGGGGCAAGGGGGGTTATCAAGGGCTTGGGGGGGGAGGGACAGTCACTGACACCGGCTCCTCCAGCTGCACTAGGGGAGGGAAGGTCACAATAACATCAGGGGTGCAGTGAGTAACCAAAATGGGGTGGGGGGCACAAGCGCATGGGAGGGGGCATGGGCACACACGGGGAGGGGTCAATCAGGGCAAGGGGGGTGCAAAGGAAGGGGAGCAACCAGGCTGGGAATGGGACAGAGGAACCAAGGGGCTAACCGCAGGGCTGGGGTAGGACAATCGAACCAAACTGCAGAGGGAAAAAGGGCAGGGCAGGCAAACAAACTGAAGCTGCGGCGGGGCAAAAAGCTACAGACGGAAAATGGGGTAGGCAGCAAGGGGCAAAGCTGGGAGGCCTGTTGCAAAGGCGAAGGGGTCAGTCCAGGGGGGTTAGGTGTGCCCACGAGCGCTTGTGCAAAATCAATGTGTGGGCTGCCTGCTGCTGCAGGCCCAAAAGATGGCAATAGGGCGCGGCAAGCCAGGAGAGCAGCAGAGTCCCAGAGGCAGGAACAGAGGAAGATGGTAAATGGGTTGTGGGGGTGGTGGAGGGGGCAACAGTGGTGGTGGGGGTTTGGGGGGGGACACAGATGGACCAGGGGGCAGGCTCCACGCCACACCCCCTGTGTCCCCGCAAACACAGTCTAGACCCCCACCACTAGAGCACAGTTCAAAAATTACTCAGTGCTGAATGGCCCCCTCCACAGTGGTCTCCAGAGTCCTGTTTGCTCCCGCAGCAGCCGATGGGCCGCGCAGTCCTCTTCCTCTACCTCCAGGCTCCAGCAGCTCCCCAGGACAAACGCAGCAGCAGCTGCAGCTCCAGCAACCCTGGCAGCCAGGCAGGAAGGACCCCCCACAGGTGGTAGTGGTGATGGTGAAGGTGGGGTCCTAGCTTCTCCCTCCAGAGATGGTGGGGAGGGGGGACTGGCCAGCAAGGCCACCCCACCCCTTGCTCAGTAGCAATGGCGGCAGCAGCAGCAGTCTAGTGAGGGAACTCTAGCCAGCAGCAGCAGCCCAGGGAAGGAAAGGAGAAGGCATTCCAGCCAGCAGGGCAGCTGGAGAGGAGAAGGAGGGAGAGCTCCAGCCAACAGGGCAGCCAGACGACAGTGAGCACGCTCTGTAGAGAAGTGGACACCCACTCCTGCCCTGAGGGGTTGGAAAAGCCCTGGGAGAAGACTGAGGCTAAGGGAAAAGCTACTGGGCTGATTGGGGAAGTAGCCACAGCTGGGCCATGCCCCAATCAGGCCTCGCTGGCCCTATAAAGGCTGGGAGCCAGTAGCAAGGATATAGTCTCTCTTTGCCTTCAGAGGGAGAAGGGCCTGGCTGTAGGGCGCTAGACACAGAGTACCTGAGTGGAGTAGGGCTGGGGAAAGGCTGGGGAGCTCCAGCCTGGATAGCCCCAGACTGTGGCCTAGGAGAAGGCCAAGGGGTACTGGGGGTTGCAGAGGGCAGCCCAGGGGTAGGCCAAGGTAGCAGGTCCAAACCCAACCTTGCCTGTGATGAGTGGCCTATACTGCAGTCTGCCCCAGAGAGTGGGGGCTAGTTGGTGACTGGCAGTGGCCTTATTTGGAGGGAGGTGAGGATAGTGGGTGGGGGTCCCTGGGGAGGGGAGACCCTAGTACTGAGGGGTGTATTGCCAGGGGGCAGCACTCCCAGATAAAAGGGCACCAGGGTCTGGGAGGGACACGGGGGCTGGAGGACAGGTAGAGGGCGCTCTGGATGAGCTGATTCCCCAGAGACAAGCAGCAGGAGGTGCCGCGGGGTGAGTTTGCTACCTTACAGTCTTGAATCAACAAGATGAAATTCAATAAAGACACGTGCAAAGTACTTTACTTAGGAAGGAAAAATCACATGCACAGCTACAAACTGGGGAATAACTGTCTAGGAAATAGTACTGCCAAAAAGGATCTGCGGTTTATAGTGGGTCAGAAAGAATATGCTTCATCAATGTGCTGCACTTGTGAAAAAGGCTAATCTGATTCTGGGGTGTGTGCACAGGAGTGTCGTATGTAAGAAATGGGAGGTCATTGTCCCATTTTATTGAGCACTGGTGAGGCCTCAGCTGGAGTCCTGTGTCCAGTTCTGCGCACTGCCCTTTAGGAGAGATGTGGAGAAACTGGAGAGAGTCCAGAGAAGAGCAACAATAATGATCAAAGGTTAAGAAAACCTGACCTAGGAGGCAAGGTGGAAAAAAACTGGATATGTTTAGAGAAGAGGATGTTGAGGAGTAAGCTGAGAACAGTCTTCAAATATGTGAAGGGCTATTATAAAGAGGATGGGGATACAATGGTTCTCCATGTCCACTGAAGGCAGGACAAGAAGTAATGGGCTTAATCTTCAGCAAGGGAGATTGAGGTTAGATATTGAGAACCCAAGATCTGCCCAGGATCCCTGTAGGCAGAGATTTTCATGGATGGCTGATGGGCACCCAAACCCCTTAGGCAGGTTTAGAAACAATCTCCCTAGGACTCAGTTTCCCCATCTGTACAATGAGAAGAATGTGACTGTTTGAACTGGACACTCCTTAGGGCGGCAAATTTTCAAGAAGCGTTGGAGCACTGGGGAAGTTCCAAAACACTTGAAGGAAGCTAATTTGGAGCCAATATTTAAAAAGGATAAATGGGACGACCCAGGTAGTTATAGGCCTGTCAGTGTGATCTCGATCCCAGGGAAGATGGAGTGGCTGATATGGGACTGGATTAATAAGGAACTAAAGAACAGTAATGTAATTAATGCCAATCAACATGGGTTTATGGAAAATAGATCTGGTCAAACTAACTTGATATCTTTATTTTTTTTTTTTTAGGAGACTACAAGTTTGACTGATAAAGGTAGTAGTGTTGATGTTCTTGTTATTTAACGTTTTTATCAATGACCTGGAAAAAAAAAATCCTCACTGATCAAGTTTTCAGATGACCCAAAGATTGAGGGAGTGGTAAATATTGAAGAGGATAGGTCACTGATACAAAGCAAACTAGATCCCTTGGTAACCTGGGCGGAAGCAAATAATGTGTTTTAATATGGCTAAATGTAAATGTATACATGTAGGAATAAAGACTGTGGGTTATACTTACAGGATGGGGGATTCTATCCTGGGAAGCAGTGACTTGGAAAAAGACTTTGGGGTCATGGTGAATAACCAGCTGAACGTGAGCTTTGATGTTGTGGCCAAAAGGGCTAATGAAATCCTGGGATGCATAAACAGGGGAATCTACAGTAGGAGCAGCAAAGTTATTTTTCCTCTCTATGGGGCACTGGTGCAACTGATGCTAGGATACTGGGTCCAGTTCTGGTGCCCACAGTTCAAGTAGGATTTTGAAAAAATGGAGCAATGTCAGAGAAGAGCCATGAGAATGATTAAAGGATTAGAAAACCTGCATTACAGTGATAGACTCAAGGAGCTTAGTCTATTTAGCTTAACAAGGTTAAGGAGACGGTTACCAGGTTCCTTGATGACAAGTTATAAGTATCCACATGGGCAATAAATATTTAATCAGGGCTCTTCAATCTAGCAGACAGAGGTCTAATACGATCCAATGGCTGGAGGTTGAAGCCAGAAAAATTCAGACTGGAAATAAGATGCTGAT